TTCGTTTGCCCAGGGCCGATTGATTTGGTCAAATGGGACTTCTCGGCGGTAGTGGAATCCACTAAAAGAAAACTCTGTTTGTCGCCATTAGGCACTATGTGGACGGCTTCATGTTTTCAAGGGTACCCTTTTCAGGTTTGTTTAAAGGGAACCCGCCATTTAGGGAGTCCAATCCCTATTTTGATACCCATATTGACGTATAATACCACACCCACGAAAAAAGACAGGCCCCCTCCCCCCCCATTTCGCTGGTGATTGGGTGGGTGGGATTTCGCCAAGGTGGGTTCGGCCATCAGAGACACGGAGATCATCTCTTCCTGGCTTAAAGAGATGGTGCGAACCCAAGAGGATTCGGTCCGGCTTTCCGCCGTTTGGGGCTGTCATGAAGACCGTTTCCTTAGGTTCCTTTTGACAGGACTGTTTTTGGCCAAACTCAGGAAGTGAGTCATCCCATGGGTTTGGGTTCCTTTCAACTCTCAGCTTCGGCAGTCTCAAATTGAACTCGCAGATTCGAACGTTTGCGATTGCTTTTGACCCAACGCCAAGGCTCTCAACACAAGATCTATCCACTTCGTGAGTTTCTGGCCACACCGACCAAGCCCCGTGACCGTTCAGCGGGGGCAAGGGTTGTTCGTTTGTGAGCGAAGGTTGATGGCGCTTCACAGGAGTTCACCTCGCAGGCGAGGGGTTCAGGGGGCCGGGGAGATGGGATTCTATTCGAGAACATTCGATGGGATGTTCAGATTGATGGGATCCATGGGGGGGGAATCATGAGTCCTTAGTCCGGTCCTAGATTCACATTGTAAGGGTTTAGTTCAAGGGAAGCTGAAAGCACGACTGTATATCTCTCTCATGAGTCGTGAACCATAGCCCAAAAAGGTTAGATGGGCGTGTCTGCTTTGAGAATATGCTGAGGTTGTTTGAAAGGCGTCAGCCCATCCGGCCCAGTATGTTTCGGACATGGGGCAGGGACCTCCCTACAAGAAACATGTTCCAAGCAAAAGAGCTCAAATTCCATGTGCCTAGGAATCCCGTGTGAGAATTGGGTAAGTTTTAGTGTGAACCGCAGAGAGGGCCCCATTGTTGGACACACACGCAAACGGAGACAGGCGTGTCGGACGTGTCGGTTTCTGAGGGTACCCCATGTTGGAGAAGGGAATCCAGGTGCGCATCATTTCGCCTGCAATTGCACAAACCACAACCCTGAAGGCGAGGTCTGAAAACCCTCAAGTTCAACAGACCTACAACCAGTCGGGCTAGTTTTCATGTGGAGGGCCGGCGCAGCTCCAAAGGAGTATTGATGTCCACGAGGGTGGACCCGCCCCATGGGCAAAAGGTTTACTGGTGATGTTCTGAATCCTACGGTCCCATTCCCAGACCGGTGCTGTTGACGTGTCCCGCTAACATTCATTACAATAGGTCCAGGTAGTATCCCCAACACTTGCAACCCCCGGAACCCTTCCGAAATTGAGTTGGAAAAGCTCGAACAACCATCCCTGTATAATTGTTATTTACTTGGTTCCCTGTCCTTTCCCAACCTCAAGCGATTCCCCCCCAAAAACAGCAGCTCATCGCAGCGGCAGGCAGCACAGCTCATCGAGCTCACGCGCCAGCAGGAGGCGACAAGAACGCTCGTCGGGCGGAGGTTCAAGCAACAGGGTGGTGTGAGGGGGTGGAGAGGTGTACCCTCTCCTAGACGATTGCATGAGCGTGGGTCAAAATTAAACCACCAGGATATGGACCACAGGTTTTGGTCCATGTTGCCCCTTACCAGGGCAACTCATTTTGGGGTTTTTGACAACCACAGCCACATGGAAGCTCCCGAACGGACCCCTTTGGAAGACTTGGCTCCATTTACAGAGGCCAATTGGGGGAGCTTCCATGATAGTCTGAGGGAGTGTAGGGTAAAGAGGGCTTGTAGAAAAGCTACGAAGGGTTGAAGGCTTGCAAACGCCTTAAAAGGGCCGTATGCTGATCATCTTTGGAGGAGCCCAACCATTTGTCCAGTTTCGAGCTGCGCCAAGCTCGACTTTTTTCTCGGCAATAGCTGCAAGTGAAATTGCGAGGTGCGAAGTGAGCAGATGACTTCGTCGTGTCGCAGTGATTGCCGTGAATTTGCAAGCCACATATCTAGCAAGGCTTGTGCGCGCGCACTATCCAGCGTCCTACTCACATTATGGACACACACCCCAATACAAATACATGAGTGGGTCATGTGGGCTCTCGAGATGCATAGACGACAAACACTTGTCATAGATGCTTTGACGTTTGGGGGGTTGTAGTGTGACTTTAGCAACCGGCCGTGTCTTCATTTCCCTTGGTTGGTGTTCAAGTCGTCTACAAATCAGATGAGTCTTCGGGGTGAACCGAACCCTTGCTTGCGTGTGTATTTCAGAAAGGCAACCCTGTTCCCGGTCATGTTTCTGCTTGTGTTGAAAAGGCCCCTCCAACTCCACTCAATGTGGCTAGACGGGTCACCTAGAAAGATTTGACCCTTGCCTGCCAGATCAGGGCAAGGCATCCCAAAAAGGTTTTGCTTTGTGACCTCATTGAGATTTCTTTCCTGGGGTTCCATTCTTATTTCAGATGGATCTTCCTGGCTCTTCCAGACTGGAGAGATGGGCACTAGCCCAATTCAGGCCATGACCTACCCGGGTCCAACAGTCAAATCCCCGAAGGGTTCAGACCTCCTGTGAGGCTTTTTGGCCCCCTTTAGGAGAACACTGGCGAATTCCAGATGAACATGCAATTCAAACCGACAGATCCATCTTTTCTTGGTATGCCTGTGTGGGTCCCAGGCAATTTGCGGAGGAAGCGGAAGCGGGGGAGTTTGGGAGACATTCACTTGCCAGGCGTCACTTCGACGCCTCGCAGGGCGAGGCTCCGGTGGCGAAGAGCAGGCGGGGAATGGCGGGGAGAGCTACCCAACGGCACAGGAGGCCCCAGCCACTGCTCTGTTTCCCAGGGATGGGACCCCTGAAAATCTGAAGTTGGTGGCAGCACCATGCAAAAGGGAAATGCCCAATTTGTGATTGGCGAACAGTTGGACCCTAGTCCCAAACGCAGGAAGACATATCAGACATATCCCGTCCGACGTGATCGAGCATGGCTGAGTTTCCTGGGACTCCTGGGCTTGTTGGCCCGAGCGCAGGTGTCTGACCTGGACAAGATCCATATGCAGTTGTGCCTGGATGTGGACACCTTCAGCCAGATGGCGCACACCCGCAATTGTTTGAGACCCTTGCAGCTTTAGGGCAGAGCTAATTATTTCATGGCCACGACCGATGGAACAGCTCTCAGAACCCTTCTAGGAACCATTCTACCAAGGTTTCAAGAACCTTTCCTGGCTTGTAGCAGTCTACTATCCATTCGCGGTGGCGGGGGGGTTACGAACAAATCCACAAACAAGGGGGACGAACTTTCCATGTCCATTAGGATAACCGCATATTTTCAGCATGGCGTGGCTCTTCATGTTGGCAGTGGGCAGAGGTATGCCTTGGTGCTTCTGCACGTGTTAGCGCGCAGGGGAAGTCGCGTTCGATATTTGTTTGTCAGATTCCGCAGAAGCCTGGCGCTGTCTGAAGCGCAGGCAGCCGAGACAGCTGGGGGATCTGCGGAAGGGCTTAGCAAGCTGATCGAGGCCTGGTCTCAGTCGCTCCGTCCCTTGTGAATGCGTCACAAACAATTAGTTGGAGCCTTTCACACGTAGCTCCTTGGTGAGTTTGTATTTCTCATGACCTGACAAGAGGTCCCTGCTTGGACACCTACCGATTTGCTGCTTTCTCTCAGCTTGGGTGCACAGGCCGTGAGCGGCATTCGACGAGCACCGCTCTTAGGCCAAAGCAAGCAGCTGGTCAGTCCTTACTAGCTTGGTGATTTTATAGCGAGCTCGCCCATGATGATGGTTCTTTTCCGGCGGGCCCCGAAAACTTCCAGTGGTAATTTGACCAGATCCTTCCTTGGATGCTGACAACATTGTCTCGACTTAACGTAGGGTATCGACCTTCGGGGGCCCTGGCCCAGCACGGGTCCAACCAGGCCTCATGGCAGGCTCGGATTGTGCCAACAGATTGGATGCTGGCATTGGGGCCGAATTGGCAGTGCCAGAAGCCATTGAATCAAACATGAGGGGTTAGCTCCGTGTGGAAGGCATCCCATTTCCATAGCCCCTTGCAATGATGAAGCTGGCATTCCATTGGGGTATTGACATGCGTCATGAAGTCCATTTCCATCTATTGCCAACTTTACGGCATTCACGCCCATTTCTCTTAGAGTTTGGCCAGGGTTAGGGCAATCGATGTTTGTTGTTTTTGGGATTTCGGGCTGGGTGTGTAGGTTATACAGGCAGAGTTTCAGCAGCAAATTGAAAGCACGCTGGAATTCGAACGAGCGAAACCAAGCATCCCATCTCAAGTGCCATCCGAATCGCTATTTAATAGTTACACCTTGATGCAGGATGCTGGGATTTGATGGCAGAAGGGAGTTGTATAGGCCTCTGGCTGGGAATCACGACTCAAATGAAGTTGATGGCTGCAGGCCACCCGCCACTCGATTTGTTGTAAACTCAGAGGATTTGGATACTTTGGATACCATTTGGCTGAGCTCTGCAGGAACACATTCAGAGAGAGAGAGAGAGAGAGAGAGAGAGAGAGACTTGGATCTTGGACAAGGACAAGCCGCCATGAGAGAGGCCTAGATTGGTGGGAAACACAAAGCAAAAAGGGGCGCTCTGCACAACTCATCGCTCCAAACCATGTGCTGGCTTCATCTCAGACCCTCAAGCCCTCAGACCCTCAGACCCTCAGATCCTGTCGTATGATGTGTGTGTGTGTGTGTGCAAGTGCACGAGCAGGCCGGGTTCACTGTTGTGCCCTTTCAGTCAGCATAGCTTTGCCGTCAACTTACTGGCCAAATTATTTGACCTCGGTCCTGTCAAAGCGACCAGCCAAGATTCGGGAGCACAGCAACCTGTCAACGCTGAGGCAGCAAGCCAGCAATTCGGCAATTCTTTGAGATGATGGCCTGGCGAACCCGTAGCCCTGCTTATTCCGTTTAGCTTGGACCATCTCTACAGGGAGGGGGCTCAGCCACCTCATCCACACAGCAACCTCAAATCTACGTCAGACCCTTGTCCTAAACCACGGTTGGGGCTCTATCAGCATGAAAAAGACATTATTGTCTAAACTTCAACTGGCTATGACTTTTGATAGGGAGCCACCTCAACAGTGGTTGGTGGACATCAATCCCCAACTAATTTATGTCCACCAGAGGGGCTCCTACAAAATTCGTAGAAACAAGAGGACACCACCTGGGAACCAGCGGCAACCTATGAATGGCGCACGTCACTTCGTGGAGCGCTGCGGATGTCGCTGACTGGGTGGAGCAGTGTTTGCAGCTTCCCTGTGGCGATGTCTTTCGAGAAGCAGACGCCACGCAAGAAAGGCTGCCATGCCCCAGCTGTTCCTTTTCATGCCTTGGCCAACAAGGCTTCTTCAGCCAGGGTTTCCCATATGTCCCCTTTTTGTGGGATTAAACATTACCATTTGAGCCAATTTACGGTGAGTAAACACGCCTAACCCGTGTCGAGGCGCTGAGACCCGCTCTCTTAGCTAATCATGTGTGGAGCATCGCCCTTTTTTCCGGGGAGCCGCTTTGGCTTACCCACACTTCTTTGTTGGTTATTTTCCTTTGTTTCTTGACGCGTCTGTCAAAGATGACCTCCACTACCCCCAAACCAGTACCCCCAACAAGGAAACACGGGGGTATGTAACCCTGAAATAATTGTATTTTCCCGTAGAGGTAGTGGTTTGGGTGTTAGTGGAAACATGTGAAAACCAGGACCCCCCACCCCCGGGTTCATAAATCGGGGTGTTCCAGTGCGGTCCTTCACTTTTTCGGGGAAACACACTCCCCAAATCCACCAGCGCCATCGAGGAGACAGGCTTCCAAAGATTTTCCATTTCATTGTTCATGTTAGAATGAGCAGTTCGGCTCATGCTCCTGATGATTGCGTTGTACGTATGTATATCTATATATATATGCATTATTCACATGTGTGGGCAACCATTTCCAAACGATACTTGCAGCTAGAAATGGATGTAGCACGAATCGATCTGAGGACATCGGGGGGCTGCAGCTTCTGCAGGAGGACTTGGCATCGCTGGGCCTGCAGGAGGCCCAGCGCTGCCGTATCGAGACCCACGTCGCCGCCTTCCGCGCCCAGCTTCCGACGCCGCCGCAGCCCGCGCCGCAGCCGGCGCCGCTGCAGCCGGCGGCTTCTGCGGCTGCGCAGGGGAAGGCGTGGTGGGTGATGGTGATGGTGTTGTTGATGCTGATGCTGTTGGCTGCTGGTGATGATGATGATGATGAGGAGGAGGAGGTGTAGGAGTAGCAGTCAGGAATACGATGATGATGACGATGAAGCTGGTGGGGCACACAGCTGTGGTGGTTATTTTGTGTTCGTTCTGTTCTGGTCTGTTTTTTTCATTATTGTTCTTCTTTTTTGTGTTCAGCGTGGACTTGCCACACCAATTGGGGGTCCCCGAGCTTGAGTTGATCCAGGTGTCTCGAGTGGGAAGCCCGAAGGCTCCCAGCGTGGAGCAGGCGGGGTGCCTAAGTCAAGAGGCCCCCCAAGTTTGAGACCCAGGCGGTCCTTAAAAAACGACCTAGGCTTGTGGCATGGGCAATCCATGATTCAGGCAGAGGTATAGGGCTCTCCGTGTCCAACTGCCAGGCACAGCCCATCCGCGATTGGCGCGCCAAGTGGCGGGAAGAGGACGCACTGGACACGAGCAACGGTGCGATGGCGGAGCCCATAAGCAACGCCGTACCGCCCGTGGAGGTGTCTTGTCAAGTTGGTTTGTCCCCAAACTGGGGAACACGCAGAAGTGGTTACCCGTTTGGCGTCCCTTTGGTTTTCGTTTATAGCAACCCCAAGAAAGTACCGTGGTAGCCATGGCGTGAGAATATGCTGACATGTTGGAGAGTGGTGGCCCTGTGTCATTCGCAAAGCAACAGGTGCGGGTAGAAAATGGCTGAGTCTGTTGATGATTCAATCTGATCTCAGACTCACATATGTGATATTATGTTCTTGCAGCGACGCTCAATCAGACTGTCTGGCTTGGTGAGAATCAGTGCCTGGTGTTTGCATTCCAGATGTTTGGAGGATGTCTTGCTCCGAGCTTGCCGTCATGTCATGTCATGTGCGTTGAACAGCCATGGGACCTCAATAGACTCAGTTCTTCAAAGCTGACCTTTTCGTCTTTTGTTCCTCTTGTGGTCAGCTTTCTTGTCGCGGTCGTAGGGTATTTTCGTGTCCTGGGTTGCCCAACAATGTTGAGGCCCTTTGGGGAATCACAGGAAGCGCAACCGAAGGGCTCCATTTTTTGATATTTTCCCCCTCCCCCCTCCTGCCTGGATGTCCGAGCATTTCTTTCTCCCCGTTTTATGCCTGGATGTCTGAGAGCTTGACATGTTTTTGCTTGCAAAGGTGCCGGACTCTCATTGGATACCGGTGAGGCATTCCTCACGTGAATCTCGGCTGACAATGAAGGCTGGGAGCATCCAGAAGGAAAGTGCCTGAAACCTGGGGGAGACGCATGCGATCGGTCTTGAGCCCTGCGATCGGAGCTCAGTTCTAGAAAGATTGCTGGAGTTCCCCTGGTTGAGTTTGGACACGAGAGGCTTGGTTGCACAAACTTTAGTCATAGAATTATATGGCTTGAATTTTCAATGGAGAACCACCTCTTTTCCAGTGGTTAGTGGACCTAAATCCAACCACGAATTTGGATGTCCACCAAACGGTACAAAATGGTGTGTCCCTTGTGGTAGTAAGTTAGTTTGTTAGCAGGTTTGGTCGAGATATTAAGCTTTCAACATGGCTAAAATTGGAGGGACATGGGAGGACGAGCACCAAATTTCAAACACAAAACCCTGGCAAGTCTCGAATTTAGCCATATCCATAGATCAGAGTATTCCGCACAAAAAACATGCCGTGGCCGTTTCTGCTGTCTGTCAGTCGGTCAGCTGCAAAATATGGGGCCTGTCCGCATCTCCGATGTTGTGTCGGGTGTTGATTAATGTCTTTGTGTTTGGAGGGGGGGTGAGGGTTACCCTCGCTTGGTGTTGTTGTAAAGGGACACCGAAAGGACCCCCAAAAGAACCTCTGGACGGCTGCCCCTCTCACCCAATGGCTCCTTGGTCTTATTTTTTGGCCAAGGCTGCTTAAGCTTGGAAAAACCGCCAGACAAAAGCCACTTCCGAAGTGGCCTCTCACGAATGGTGTGCCATCTAAGGAGAAGACACCCACAAGAAGTCACAGATCCAGCCTGGGCTTCTTGGACATGTAAAGATCCTTTTTGATGCTAGAGGAACTTGCATGAAGGCATCCATTTATTACAGTACGACGGCAGCATGAGACCTTTTCCCGAAATGGTTCAATGAGACAGCTGATTGTTTGTGTTCAGCACTCGGCAGTCAGGATGCTCAGATGCTCGCCAAAGGAAACATCCAGCCGGCGTCCAGCAAGCTTCTTGGCTGCAGGGTGTGGCGTAGATTTCGCTCAAGGCAGCTCAGACGGATGGTTTTGGCCCACACGGTCAGGGTCATAAGATGTGATTTCTTGGGATCAACAGGTTAATTCAACAAGGATCCTTCATAATTCAGGATGCTTAGGAGCCCCACCCTTGTTTCAAAATGCCTGCCGGTCCCTTTTGGTTTCCCTTTCAACCAATCCCAACAAAGATATATCCTTGAACCCGCAGCCCGCCAAAGCCGCTCTACATGTTTCCCTGAAAGTTGGGGCCGAGTGAGCTCCAGGCACCCAGCCGCACTCCCCGTGGCCGCCCGGAGGCACTGAGTTTGTGTCGAAAACCCTGGCCCTTGCGTCCAAATGGCCATGGGTCAAAAGCCCGTACCCGCAGTGAACATCCCAATCCCCACCAAAATCCCGACTAAAATGGGTGGCACACCTACCCCAAAATGGGATCCCATTGGTTTTGAACCATGGGCAAATCTCTTCTCTTGTCCTCGCAGCTCCAGGATCTCATGAGCTATGCTGCCTGCGCGCAGCAGCTGTCGGAGGCACTTTGGGCGTTGGGCGTTTCGGGGGCAATAGATTTCTATGGGATAATTTGGCTGTGGGTCAAAACCAATGAGTTCAATGGGATCCCATTTTGGGGTAGGTGCACCACCGAATTTATTTTAGTGGGGATTGGGATGTTCACTGGGGGTACGATTTGGATTTTGACCCGTATGGCCATTTGGGTTGCACCCTTATGCAAGTTGGGATTAAAGCAGTCGTCCGAATTATGAGTGTCAGTGTTCTGGGGCCGGGTTCAACAGTTGGGTCTTTGTTGAAGTGGGAGTTGGAAACCCACAATGAACTCAATAATTCCCACTTGTCCTTGGAAACTATGGGAGACTTGTCAAAATGACTCCCTAGAATCACGGATCCCGCTCAAAGCGGCCACATGAAGCCAAGAGCCAAGATCGAAAGGCGCCGTGATCTAGTCGGGTGTTTCCTACTCTCAAAGATACACCCCTACACCCACCACCCAACAACCGCACCCCCTTACACCCACGCGCACAAACAAACCGGCACACAACATGTACGCACCCACACAAGCAAGCACTCACACACGCAACCACGCAACCATGCAACCACGCAACCCCACACGCACGCACGCGCGCGCGCGACCACAAGCTCGCTGAAGCACATACACACAACCACACAGCTCACCGGACAGCCACAACCACGACCACGCAGCATACCACTAAGAACTGGCTTGCAAACAGCACGGGTCAGCTGGGGAAAGCTGCGGCTGCACTCCTCTAGTGGGAACACTCGCCTTTGTGGAGGAAGTTGTTATGCTGATTCGCGTGGTCCTCTAGGTGTAGAAAACAGGATCATTTGAGTCATGTGACTGTTTGCTTACTTCACTGCAGCCATTTCGGTCCACATCAGTTGGTGTCTCTGTTTTGGTTTCTCGCGCTCCAGACCATGCCACTTCGATATTACTTGACCTTCATCGATGAGACTGATGAGGTCTCGAGCTCCGGGAAACGGTCCCAGAGTCTGCCACCGCAGTCGGTGAATCAAGGGACGGGTGAGGAAGAAGAAATCCAGGAGCATGTGGCATCCTTGCGAGAGAGGGCTGCATCCTTGCAACTCGGTGGGTTTCATTTTGGGGCTTCAGCCAGTTGTCTATTCTTGCCCTTCCTCTGCTTGCTCTTTCAGACAGAGAAAGCCATTGGCTTGTGATTGTGATGGATGGCTTGCCTGCAAGTTTGATTGAGTTTGCTTGGCCTGGCTTGGATTGCTTGTTTCCTTTGTTGCCTTCCCTGCCTCTTCCACCTGTTGTGTTTGACCTGTTTGCACTGTCATCCGCGCGACTGGTAGGTGTGCCTTGTGATGCCTTGTGCTTGTTTTCCAAGGCGGGCGCAGGCGAAGCTTCCAGTGAGCGAAGGCAGCCGCGGTCATCCCGAGCTGTGCCGGCGACCTTGTGTCCGTATGGCCAGGGGGAGCTGTCAGGCTGGCAGCACTTGCAGCTTCTGCCACTTCAACCACAAGCCGGTGAAGTTGAATAAGTGCCTGCGACTAGCCTTAGGCAGGGGAGAAACGACAAAAATCCAAACTTATACCCAGCGGGCCTGCGGGTCAAAATAAATTGGTAGGTTACAGCTGTCAATGAAGATTCCCTCCAACCAATTATTCTTTCTTTGTCATTCATCTTTCTTTGTCATTATCTACCTTCAAGATCCAGAGACAATTGTATGCAGGTAAATCTCATGTTGGTGAAAGAAGAATTAACGTTTCATAGAAATATTTGCCATGTTAATCCTATTATCTGTCTCCTTTATAATATTTGGATTGTTTGTGTTGGGTGTCTTTACGTTAGTTCGCATGCGGGCTTGAGAGAACACCCAAAGGGAGCAGATTCACGCTCTTGAATGCAAAAAAGATCATAGGGCCTGGGTTGCCAGTCGGTGATATTGAGAAAATGTGGGTATACCTAAGTTTCGACGCGTCTACAAATCAAGTCTACCGTGTAAAACCATAAACACACTCCAGGACATCAATGTGTGTTGCCTCAGGACGGCACCGACAACGGTTGTTTTTGCCACGTTCCTGGCTGTTCAGAAATAGTGAGCCTTGCTTTTGAGGATATAAATTGAAACTGACGGGAAGAAGAACCGAGCAGCTTTAGGCGCAAGCATTCGTGCCAACGAATGCCAGTCAGTTTGATGGAAAGGAAGCGAATCATTCCATAGCCTTTCTCACGTGCCAGGCCCTTTCTTACGCCCCGCCCCACCCAGGTATGGATTTGTTTTCCACCAGGCACTCTGTGAGAAGGTACTAGATGCTACTAGGTGACCAAGTAGCCCACTTCTCCCACAGTGGGTGTGTCTTAGACCCCAAACGGAATGCTGGTTTTCCCTTTGGCTGCCCGGTCAAAGGCAAGCCCCAAACTGGCACCAACTTAACAGACGCAGTGCTTTCCGGGAACCCGTCAGGCTCTTTGACCGATTCACAGCGGCTTCCAGTGCTGCTTCCCTACTTCAAAGAGAAACTGCCTGCCGGCCACGAGGACCGCACACTCGGACTCCCCATCGCTGGTTTCGGTTTCCAAGTGTGACTGCCACACTATTTGGGTGAAACGCATGAAAGTTTGGTGCTGCAAGTTGGCTAGGCGGTTGCTCCAAAGGGAGGGCACCTCACTTTTTTTTAGAATGACTGGTTCCCTCGTGTCACTCACAGACCGTCCGAAGAAGGAGCTTCAACTCTTCCATGCAATGGTCAGCGCAGTGCGTGCTCGCGATGCGCATTGACAGTTGCCCAAGGAAAGCATCGATTGACTCGCCCCTTTGTTCCCTCGGTTACACTGCCTCTTAAAGTACTGGGATGTGCATGCGTTGGGGATGAACCGCCTAAGCCCCTAACCACAACAACATGTTGGGTTGCATGTACGGCCATAGCCTTGGCTCCCCGGTTCCTGTCTAAGAACACTTCGCCTGCCGTAGTTTTTGGTTTACATTTTGTCAATCATCATGTTGGTTTTAAACGGGGGCCCTCAAGAGTGCCTACATGTCTCGCTTCAGCCCGTTTAAACATCACCTTTTGGTTGCCACTGGTTGATAACTTTCCTCTTGATGTTTGAGGGTCAAACACGGCCCAGGATCCTCAGGGAGCTGGAGGGCAGCCTTAGCAAGAGGATAGATGGACTTTCCTCTTGATGTTTGAGCGTCCATCATGCACGGCCCAGGATCCTCATGGAGCTAGAGGGCAGCCTTAGCAAAAGATATCTCTTCTTGGATCGATGTTTCTCAGGGCCCACATGAAGACCGTGTTCAATGGGGGACACCTGCAAAACTGGTTAGACATAAAGCTCCAACTATTCATGATATACACCTACGTGTGCATGTCCGCTTAATCCTGCAAAGTAGTTGTATATAGTCTTTCTCATTCAAATTGTCTATGGAGCTTGCCACCGCAAATGTATGAAGCCACAAAGAGAGCCCTTTTCCCGAAAGGCGGTTCGAATCCCAAAAATGGTTGGCCTCTTTGCGGTTCTCACGCTGATCTAACGACCAAATGGATCGTACGTGTCAAGCCAATTGGGTTATATCTGGGTTCCTCTCGGTTTCCCGGAAAAGAAAAGAAGAAGACAAATATATTAGGTGCCAACTCAAAAACTCAGCCAGGAGCTCCTTGATCTGATGCAGCAAGAGTCGGACCTTGAAGTCGCCGTTCCAAAGCGCGGACAATTGGAGCAGCAGCTTCAGCGGATGAGTCTCTCCGGGCTGTAGGGGTCCCAGTTGCCTGGGAATGGATGGGCGGGGGCGGGGGGGGGGAATTTGATGCTCCAATGAATTGTTTGGCCGGGTTTCTGGGGCAAAACCGAAGGACCGAAGCGGTGAACTGAAAGTATCATGCATTCCAAGAAAGAGCCCCAGGCTTCTTTCGGGTCGCCAAGACCTGGAACCCCGGCAGAGAACCTCTTTGGACATGATGTTACATAAGGTTCATGATAGGCCAGAAGCAAACATGCCTTCCAGGATCCTGAAAAAGCAGGCCTTTGCCTGGTCCTTTACTTGGGCCCTGCTTTTCAAGGTCCTTGGAAGACAGATACTTGTGGTTGAGCAAAAGCTGAGGTGAATCTCGCGGTGGGACCCTTTGGGCTTCCATGTTTGGGCAGTCGAGTTGGACCCCCTTACACGGGCCAGTTAGCTTTTGTCCTTCTTTATCCAGAGCCTCGCCCCTCTGAACAAGAAACCCACTTGCAGGTTTGGTCTGCTGAGTGCCAAGCACTTCACCTCCGGTTCCCGGATTCCAGACATCGCCACGTTCGTGCTGGAGGAACTTCGGAGAAGCGCCGAAGCTGGCGCACCCGCTTGATTCGTGGATTCGGCTGCCTTTCGGGCTGATTTGGCGTAGGTTAGGTAGACGGCGCGTGGTAGGCGCGGGCTTCGTCTATTTCCTCAGAAGCTTGATAGAACTTGATTCGGCACCGATGTTCAAGACGTTGCTGAAGCGTCTTTCGTAACTCTCGCAAACATGACCCCGGGTCAATTTTCGAACATAGATCCCAGTTTGAAGGGCCGGAAGTGCACAGGATCACGTCTTTCATTGCTGCAAACGGGTGTGAATTTTAGAAGGGAAGCCTTTGGTGGAAAAGATTTAGAGGTGTTCACGTCCATCAACCGCTTTTGGGCTGGTTCCCTATTTAATAGAGCTAATAGCCCAGAATCAATGTGATGAAGACCGCCTCTGCGTCCGAATGTCGCCACAGCGGGCCAGTGACAAAATGATACAAACTCAAACTTTTGTTTGAAGCTTTATCTAAATGGATGTCCTCCCACGAGCCGCTCGCGAGACTGATCGCAGCTCAAACACCCGCTTTACACTTCTTTTGTTGGGTTTCAGCGGTTGCGGAGAGTTTGTAGCATTTGTCATACATTTTCCAAGGGCCACACACTGACCTTTGGTCCTCCGGGTGCATGCCTTCGTGAAAAATGCCACATTTTGAACCGTCAAGAATCAAAGCCGGAGGTCTTGGTCACGTATGTAAAGGGATGTGGCTAGCCATCATCCTTCAGTACAGGCTAGATGGCGGATGTGCGGAGTTGACAGTGGATTTCTCATGCCCTTGAATCATGAATCTGTGCATTCCAGTGTGGGTTGGAGACATGTTGGTCAGGCTGTTGCTTCTGCGATGATATCTCGCAGTTTTCTGTTTTTTGAAAGTCCCGATTGCAAGCTGGAACCGGCTTCAGAACCCGTAGACGTGTGCCAGGTGCGTCGCATCGGCCTGCACGGAATTTTCCATGTCACCGTTGCCATCTTCCGTGGATCCGAACCCGGGTCCACCGGATGCAAGTGGCTGTGGGTCAAAACCGTTTTGGGATCTGATTTTGGGGTAGGTGAATTCACCACCCATTTTAGAACCTATTTTAGTGGGGATTGGGATGTTCACTGTACGAAATTTTGACCCATGGCCAAGTCTCCGGCAGCCGGCTGTGCTGGCGAGAGTCGGGCTTTCTTTTTGCAGGTCCAATAGACATGACACAACTCACGTCGCCCATTTCGACCACTGCTTGCTTTGCTCGAAGCTGGAGACCAACACACCTGACAGCTAGCAGACGGTGTGGGCCGTAAGTGCGACTCACTTGGCCGTGGGTTGACCTCGCCCGCAAAGTCCACCGGCTTCTCATATACCAGGATAGATGATGGATACCTACCATCTTCAGTGCTGGGAGGCTTGCTGGTAACAGCACTCTGGCTGGCCTTAGGCTGTTGAGCTACCCATGATCTGGGTAGCCATTGAGCCAAGCCTTTGGATTTTGTGCCCGTAATGTTGCTCTTGACAGTCTTGACATGAAGAGACGTACTTGACATGTGCCATAGACATGGCCGGGGCCTTCATGATATTTTCCATTTGATTGCGTGGTTACTATTGGATGCTACCATGGAAGTCAGACGTCCGCGCTCCGTGGGTGCGTGGCACTGCGTGAAGCAGCTAGCTTCAAGGCACAGATGGTCGCCTCTCATACAGTTGCGATCGCGACTTGTGTGGAAGACCGCCCATGGGTGGTGTTCCATAACTCTCAAGTGCAGACTGGGAGATTCCAGTTTTGAAGGTTTTTGCTGGGTGTTCGGCCAATCTCCAGGAGAACAATTCCTGTAGCTAGTTTCTCGGAAGGATGCAGCCCTTGCACGAGTCATGGCGTGGCGGATTGTGCTTATGATGATCCTCATGTTGCAGCATCAGAAGGAGCTTCATGAGTGTGGTCCATGTCCTGCCAAGGGAAGCTGATTCCTTCAAAATGACAAGCGCTAAGTCGCACAGAATATGCAGAGTGAATGGATAGCCAGCTGACCAAAAAGGACACGACTTTAGAACTCAAGAGTGGCCTCGCTTCCTTTCCGAGTCTCAGCTGCATATACCCCAAATGCTCTTGGCTTAGTCACGACCGCTCTGTGAATTTTGCTATACGATTCATTCCCACCCGGATGTGGTTCTTCATGGTGCCCCGTGCATTTGCCATCAGGCGGCAAAACCGCGGCAATCGCCACCGCCGCGCCGGCCTTCGTCGTCCGCGACGAGGGCGAATGCAGAGCCGTCGACAGGCCCGATGCATTGGGCCAGTTTTTGGGTTCACCCAAACATTGGGGCGACCCCTCAGAATTGGTTCCTTCAACTTCTCCAAAAGAGGGGACACACACACACACACTCCCCTCCATGTAGGAGAAGTATTTGGACTTCCCGACTTCCCCTAACAGTCTAGGATTCCTTTGCCCAATCTAGTACACGTGGCAATCGGACTGCTTGGAGTCGTCTCTGATCTGAACGTAGAGCAGGTGGCTTGCCTTCATGAAAACTGCCTATGGGAGGGTACCATCAAAAGGGACACTCATTTGCAGGCGGACCACTCACTGGGCGGTCCCTAAATGTCAAGAACAGCCGCGCGCTGGGCGCTGTGCACCCATCGGTAAAGTTCATGGCTGGATTGCAGCTTTCGACTGCACGCCAGGTGGCCATGGGTCGAAAGCCCGTGCCCCACTGAACATCCCAATCCAGGTTCTAAAATGGGTGGTGCATCTACCCCAAAATGGGATCTCATTGGCTTTGACCCACGGCCAGGTTGGCATGCAATCAGACCCAGACCTCCATCAGCCAGTCTCTAAGTCTCTGAGTCTCCGAGTCATGCGTCATCTCGTGCGAAAGTGGACGGAGGACAAATCGATTTGTTCTAGAAGTCTAGAAGTGGACAAAAGGGCATCAAAACGATTCGCCCCTCCCATCTTTCCTTTTGGGGAGGTCATGTTGGCCAAGTCTGGATTTTCCCCGAATCGGAAGTGAGAATCACGCGACCTGGTGGTTTTCCAAGAGCCATTCGCAACCGAGGTAAGGCATTATGCCAACGTGCAGGATGCCATCCGGGCGGGCGAGTCAAGGCCCAAACCTCAAAAAGAGGCAAGGCAGGCGGTCCAGTGCAATTTGGCCGCCCTCTCTCATTAGATGTGTCTGTGGGTCAAAACCAATGGGATCTGATTTTGGGGTAGGTGCACCACCCATTTTAGAACCTATTTTGGTGGGGATTGGGATGTTCGGAGGGGGTACCGGCTTTTGACCCATGGCCATGTCTCAAAAAAATAATATGAGAATTCAAAGGAAGCCCAAGCCACTTTGAGGAGTCCTTGCAAGTTTCCATGTGATGCGTTGGTGGTTTTCATGGTACTTTCCGGTGGTGAGGTCATCTCGCTCAAGCAGTGCCGTCCGGGAGGCACTTGGTCGGTACCTCGTTGACTTTTGTGTGGCCAAAAATCCGCTTTCTTGCCCGTGCCCGTCAGTCGGGAATGCCATGCCGCTGGCATTGATTGTGAGGAGCCTGGCATTGATTGACCTAAGGCGACCCACTGGGTTTGAGTCTACTTTGTAGTCAAAGAATGGAACCCCTGAGGAGTTGACAGCCACAAAAGATGAAGTCAATCATGGTTCAACCGTCACTGCTGGAAGTTTCAACTGACTCAACGAAACATTGTGGACCTTTCCTGCAGGCCTAGACGGGCCTTCCTGTAAAAGTGGAACAGGTTGGTTTCGTGTCGGTTGCCCTGCAACGCTGTCCAAGAAGGGTGCCATGTTTGAAAGGGGCCCCTGTTTGTTTGGTAGTTTGTTTTATAGTGCGTTGCTTTGCTTTGTTTCGTTCTGAGTTGTGTGTGTGATTTTTGTGTTAAGGGAAGCCAAATGGACAACCAAAAAGAACCCAAATGAATCGACGAGGTTGCTTTGTTTGAGTTGGTACCCTGTTGGGCCAATGGTGTTGGGGACAATTGTAAGGAAAGCCAGCGGAATCCCAAGCGAAGCTAAGGGGAACCCGAGGGGAAAGTCAAGGGGAATCTAAGCAATCGATTTGTTGTTAACTCCAAGCTCTGATTTTCAGGGGGACATCAACGGGAAACCGGGACGCCGAAGTGAAACCAAAGGGCCCAAGCGAAGCCAAGAGGTAACCTTCAAGGGAACAATCCAAAACGTCCAAAGATTGGAGTTTGTTTTGAGGAAACCGAAGGGAACCCTGAAACCTAAGGCGTTTAATTACCAAAAGGAATCCAAGCTGATGCCTAGTGAGACACTTTTCACCACCTTTCCAGGCGCTGAAGACGATCTCCAAGGAGGTGAAGCAAGCCCGACCCGCCAGCCGCATGCCTGGCTCATGCCTTGGCATTTCTTGTGTCTCAGCGCCCAAACTCACATAGCTGTTCTCAAAACCGTTTTGGGATTTTGTTTTGGATGGAAGGTGAATGCACCCATTTTAGGCTTCCTATTTTTAGTGGGGGATTGGTTGATGTCTGGGGGATATCCGATCTTCGGTTCCCGGTGAGGCCTTGCAAAAGACGATCACCTTGGACCCCACCCCCTGCCCAAGAAACAGAAACGAAGAAGGGAAACGAACACACAGAAGGACAAAGGAACATCGCCCATGTTTGCGCCTTGCCTTTTCCGGCAAGGGCCACATGTATGGGGAGCACCATCAAAAAGGGATCCCCTGGATCGAAAAAGAACCCTTTTCGTGATGTAAGGGCGGTTCCCTTAACTTTCTTTGCATGCCCGGAACACTGTAAACCGATGCTCAGGAAAAAGCGATTCCCGTGGAAGCCATGAAGACACATCAGGTCCAAGTCGTTGTCGCAAACCAAGATTGCGGAGTCAGACATTTGCAGGGCCCGAAATAGTACTCAAAACTTGTACTGAGTAGTTGCGGCTTTCGCGCAGGAGCTGCCAAAATTTACTTTCTATACTATACACAATACCACCCTGGTACTGAGAAGTTGCAACTCTCGAGACGGAGCGACCAAGTTTGGTACTATATGCATGTACTGAGAAGTTGCGACTTCGAGCGGAGCTGCCAAAGTGTACTTCGTATACACACACGTATTGAACAGTTGCAATGTTCGAGCTAGGCTAGAGCTGCCGAAACACTGCAAACCGATGCAGAGGATCAAAATGATGCTAATCGACGCCAGAGTACAAGGTTGGAAGGGTTGTCCGCAGTTGTTTTGCAGCCCAAATGAACTCACTGTGAATCAGTTAGGGGCTGTCAGACGTGGGCATCCCATCCCTTTTCGGGCGGGGTGCCTTTTTGTCAGAGTCGCCATTTGCACCTTGTGTTTTGATGACATGCGGCAGGCGGCAAGACACGGGTTTTCAGAATTCGGCATGTATTGTACTACGGCGAGCTCACTTGGGAGTCTGTACATGTCACGCTTCGTTAGGCACAGAGAGAGCCGCATCTCGATGGTTACAAAGTGTACAAGGCAAACACACCTAGGAATATTTAAAATGAATAGGTCCTTTACTTGGGGATCAGGGCTAGAATTATTGCAAGAACATTAGATCATTCTCCCTGTGTAGGGAGAGCCCGGCAAGCCCAGTGCTCAGAGTGCGCTCAATATGGTAGAGTCAGGGCCCTCTCCTTTTGGCTTTGCATGCCCAGTGCACTCGCCGGTTGTGTCACCCCTTCATAGACTCCCAATCATTTGGGGGCACCTGGACGAAGGCCTCGTTGAAAAGGGAACCTGTAAAGAGAAGGTATGTGTCAAACTGGTTTTGGCTTTCGTTGTTTTCTTTGGGTGTCCCTGAATCTAAGAAGGGTACCAACTCCCCTCAGTTTACAACCATCCCCTGGAAGGTAAACATCTCGCGGTTTGACAGTCCGTGCGATCGCGTGCGCCCCAATTCCTAGGCCATGCACCGGTGCGGCCAGTGCCCACGAGGCAGTCAAACTCGCAGCGCTCCATGATCAGGATGTTCAACCCAGTGAGGTTATAGCCATAGGACGGGAACTAACCCCAGATATATGGGTATTTCTCAGAATAGGGGTCCCTCATTGGATGGGTTCAAGGAGAAGCTAAAAGGAAGCCAACCACCTGAAACGGCACGACTTTTGAATGAGAACCACCAAAAAAAACGCCGGCTGTACGTGCAAGTGCCCTCCAGAAGGCAGTGGGAGGAGACCTGCACCAATCTGTCGGATGGGCCAACTCCTTGGCGCCGTTTTTGGTTTCTTCTCCGGGTCCCAGGGGCCAGTTCTGGGCAAGTTTGGCGAACAAGTTGAGTTCTCGAGTTGGTAGCGATTCAGTTTGACTGCCTCGAGTTTAACCCAATGGGCAGGTTTTGTCAGGAGCTTTTTTGGGACTCGTCGTGTTCGGGGGAACCCGGGGAAACGAAAGAGATCGACGCCGCCAAAGCATTTGATCGGCTCGCGCCGAAAATCCATGAAACTCCAGAGTTGGGCAGCTGAATGGCAGGGCGGATCGCAAGCACAAGGGCTGCCAGACAACCCCTCAGGCGCATTGCGTCGTGCGAATGTCCAGAGAGTGTCGCAAAATGAGAGGACCCCCCAAAGCGTTGTCTTAAAAAAAAAAAAAAACTAAGAATACTGTAACCAAAATGGGTTTCCACTGCAAAAGGACACGCTCAGATTTGCAGTGTGGGCAGGCTGCACGTCCAGCGCCTAACGGACATGCGGAGCCCATGAGCCTTGAGAAGGCGGAGGGTTGAGGCATCGCAAGGCCATCCTTTGCCAAAGCTACTTTGGGGTGTGATGGCATGTGGCTGCGGGTCAAAAATAGGTACCCAAAATGGAACCCTGGTAAGTGGAAGCATGGACTAAAACCTGCAGTCCCCTGATGGATTAATTTTGACCCATATCCATGTCATCTTCCAACCACATGACAACAGTCAGTCAGCAGGACAAATGGGATGCTCAGATAGAGCCCCATGCGGATTTGGGCAAATTGACACGAGCTTATCGGGGCAAAGGGACTCCTTATTTCGGATTTGAGTTGTAGTAGTATACCCAGACAGGTGCGTGTGTGTGTGTGTGTGTGTGTGTTGTTTGTTTTAGGAAGCCTGTTTCGGGCCTGTTTAAACGGACACAAACGGGAAGCCGCCCATTTTGGGGTTCCCCTATCTTGAGACAAACCCAGATACAATTGCAGCGTTCCACTTACTGCTCGGTTTGCTGCAGGCCATGACACATCACAGCTCTGAAGAGCCAGTCAGCCTGCTTGTTCACGAGAAGGCCGACTGCAGTCTTGACCCAGGTCCATGTTTGGTTTTCAAAGTCGCTTTGGGAGGGAAATGTAATTGTAGCCACTTGTCAGAGGGTGATTTTGAGGGTGTCACTTTAAGGGTCTGCGACCGTTGCAGGGGCATGCAGCTTTCTGAAGACTTAGCAACATGCAAAGAAGCAGTGACCAGCCTTCAGGGAATGGGACAATATGTAGTGGCGAACCCCTTGAAAATGGTTGGTGGACATAAATCCCCATGTCAATCAGCAGCTGGAACAGCAGACTGAATCGAACTAATTATGTTTGTTGTCAGTATTCACCAAAGCGGTTCCCCCATATGTTGTTTCATTCGACTTCATTCCAAGTTCATTCGCCTCGTGCCGAAACATGTTGCAAGCCATTACACTCGGACGGAGTCCTCGCCTAGCTGAAAAGGGGGTCCCCCACCAAAATTCAGACCCGAAGCTGTTTAAATGAGCGCCAAACGAACGCCTATCAGCCAGTTGAGGCGGTGCTACTTTGGGATTGTAGGGAAATACATCAGCCTTCATGAAGCAACGCCACTTTGGTGCATTTTACTTGGATGTTAGGACTTTAACTTTTTGCCAACTAATGGGTCTTCCATGAAACCATTAAAAGTTAAACTTTTAGCAGGGGAGCAGAAAGCAACCGAGGTCAGCTCGGGTTTGCGCTGTGTCGCGTTTGCAGGCCAAGCCTCAGAGCTCGCAAAGTAGAGACTTGACGGATCCGGCGGCTTCCCCCGTCACCTTGGAGGCAGGGCATATGTTTGAGGCTTGGTACTCTTCTCACCTTGGTTTAAAGGGAAACCCAAAGGAACAAGGATGTGGGTCACTGTATTCGAACACATACCGAAATTGAAGACGCTTGACGGAAGCTGCCTGATGTTCTGTCACAGATTGGGGTGGTCCTGCTTGCTTGATCAGCCGCAGGCTGTGACACAGCGCGGCTCTCCAAGTGTTGCAGATTCGGTGGAAAAGTGGGACTTGCATCAGAAGGCCTGTGCTGCTGTAGCGAGCACACTTGCATACAAGCGGAGAATGCAGAGATAAATTGTGAATCTCATGACGGGGGGAAGCTGCTGGCTTGCTGAGAGTGATTTTTGATTTTGGGAATGAAGGGAGACATTTCTTAGAGCAATTCTTCGGAGATTTGGGATCAGGGATGCATGCTGTGCCCCACCTAGTTTCTCCAACTGCTACACCACAGGAACTTGGAACAGCTGCTGTCCCACACTATTTTCACCTTCGACACGAACGCAAAGGCAGACGACACATCCACCTTTTTGCACAGCTGTTCCGGAGGAGATTCCACGCATGCGGCCAGAAAGCAGCTCTTCACCCAGCGCACATCAGCCATCGGCTGCAGTGAGGCTGCATCCTCAAAACGGCTCTTGACCCAGATCTCGCTGTTTCGACGTCCCACGCAGCTGCAATCCAGGCTAGCGCTTTCCACCAGCGACTGCACCCCACGGCCTGCCGGGATTCGTGTAAAGGGCTGCAGGATTTATAGGTGCAGACTTACAGGCTAGATGGATTGGCACTTACCATCCTGGAATGCAACGCATGAAACCATCAGCTGGTGTTAAACAAGCGCACAATGGCATGGCCTCAATGAATACATAGCACACTTTCACAGAAAGAAAGAAGGAAAGGAACAAAGAAAGAACGAATGAATAACTGCAATTGCCTGAGGACGAGTTGCTGCTTGGAAGCGGCATTGAGTCGTAGAGGCTTGGCCTGCTCAATTTGCCGCAGGCTGTACCGCACTGCGGCTCTGATGCAGATTTGGACGAGCCACAAGAGCCCGTCAGCGTGATGCATGAGGAGGCCCGACTGGGCCCTGCTGTGCCATGACGATCTGATTCGTATGCAAACCGATGCACTGCAAGTCGTAGATTCCACGACTAGGGTGAAGACTAGCTCCATAGATTTGACAAAGCTGGCAGGCGCTACCCCAAGTGCAGGGTCAGACTCCCAAGCTGGGTCGACTTTCCATACTTGCAGTTGCGGTCGCCAGCCGTTGGGGCAGCTTGTGCTTGCCAGTTCCTGCGCAATATCATAGCTGAAAATCCTGAAACCCGTCCTTGGAGTCCATGGGGTAGTCGTGGGATTGCATGTTTCAGTTTGCTGCTTGAGCAGGCTGTGCCATACCACAGCTCTCCGACCGAAGCGGATGTGGCGGAAGAGCCCGTCACCGCGTTGCATGAGAAGGCCCAACTGTGCGGTCATCCGATTCGTTTGGAGGCTTTGCCAGAGAGACCCCAGACCTCAGACCTGCGTTTCCCTTATCTTGTGTTTGGTAGGACTTTCAAATCAACTGAATAAAGAGGTGCCTATTGGTCCGCTGGGAGATGCTTCAGGCTGTGACGAAAAACCCCGGAGCAGACTTGGAGCCCGTGGGCCCGTGGCATGAGAAGGCACACCTGTGCCATGGCAGTCGGAGTTGAGAGTACAAGCCCTTTGTAGGAAGTCATGGAAAACCATGTGTATTGCACGTGGGCGGAGTTTGTTGTGGAAGCTGTGTTGAACTGAGACGCACAAGCTTGCTCGGTAGCAGCCATACCATCCTAGCACGCAGCAGTGGCAGTTGACGGGGTTACAGCAACATTGGCTGGATTTGCCTGAGTGCGTTACAATTTGGGAGCCTGTGATTCTTGGCTCTTTGACTTGCCACAGGCCACAGACCATGGCTCTCCAAGTGGAGCTGGTTTGGTGGAGCCCGTCAGCCAGTCTGGGCGTGGGAAGGCCCGACCAATTTGAGCACTCAAGTTGCTGACCAGATCGAGCAGTGAAGTCAAGGGCAGATTGCTGGCGACCGCAATTGGCCAAATGCGTTGACACTCGAACACATCCTTGAGCCTCTTGACAGTATGTAAATGGCTGATGGCTACGTTGGCCCATTCTTTGAAGTTTGGCGTAAAAACTTCATGTGTGGTGCCGTGCACGCTAATCATTGCTGGTCATTAGCACTTCCAGGGTTTCTGTGCGGCATAGAGCATGCCGCAATTGCACCATGATCTTTTCATATGCAAGCTCGCATCATTGTCAGTAACTGCCAGGGGCCGAAGTTCCAGATAGTACCGGAATTGGTTGAGACAAGGTGTTACCAGGTGCATTCGCATGCTCTTGGCAAATTCGATCAGAATTTTGAGAGTGATCACTTGATGCGCAATACCAGGGCTTGTTTTTGCCAGATGCCAACCAGGAACAGGAGGGCTACAAAGCGAAGACACCGAAAAGAACAACAGCGGCAAGCTGATCGGCCTGAGAGCAATTCTTCCTCAACTTCCTCCTCAGAGTCGTCCACATTATCGTGAAGCATGGACAAAGGAGCTCGCGTAAGCATTCCTTGTGGAGAAGCACTCAAAAACGATGATGCGTACGGGATGCGTAAGCTTATCATGCTCCTTATGGCCGCGCAAAGGTAAAACTAAACCATGGGTTGCGCAATCAAACCGTTAGCCCGCGTGTAAGCAACGCTCCACGGCATAGGGACGCATGGCGTGACTTCAGAGTTGCACAGCATTCATTGCTTTTAGGTTTCAGGTTAAGTTTGAGGAGAGTAGATAATACTAGCCTGCGACCAGGACGGCCCGGTGACTCCTCCAGTCCATGTAGCTGGACAAAGGGAACCCGTTAAGAACCAATTAAACGGAAACAGGCCAAGGGTTGCCCAACGCCTGGGATTTGGGTGTGGAAATGGGCCCAAACTTACCACAACCGCGTCCAAGCCTTTCAGAGCCCGGCAAGAAACATGTTCCGAACGGTTGGTCTTGGGGCAAAAACCAGTCGTCCTGGAAATCCCCGTGATCAAGCAGTTGTCTTTTATTCCCTTTCTGGAGGTCTAGGCGGCTAAGCTTGACTGTGTGCTTCTGTTGAGGTACCCCCTTCTTGCCGTGGTTTCAACGGAAACCGAAAGGAGCATCATATTTTGGGTCCGCCCGATGCGCATTTGTGCTGTCGACAGCTCCAGTTGAACTGCGCAAGGCGCATCCTTTCTCCAATACATGTCAGGAAGTACTTGCAGAAAGCCTGCAAACCACAAACGGGTGTCTTTTTTCGCTTGTTGTAGGGTACCCCCAAAAAACGTGGTTTCCTTTTGGTTTTCCTACAAAACCACAAACACATGCATGGGTATCCTCAAATAAAGACACGCCCATATTTTAGGGCGCATGTACTGCCTTAGGTGTTGAAAATACTATGCCCTGCTTGCCCTTCTGTGTTCCTGCACCAGTGCTCGGCCTGTTCACTGTTTGGTCAGGCGCATTATGGGTGCCTTGAGGGTGCAATTGGGCTGGCACCCTCACCTCAAGTAGAAAAGGATAACGGCAGGCCGAAGTTGCAAACGGCAACTTGCAGACAACCACTCGCTGGAAACAGAACACGTGCTGCAAGCAAAGCTAAAAAAACTCAAGGAAGCACTGGCTAAGCGTTTTGATATTCGTCGGTCGCAGGCCTGCGACCGTGAGGCCTGACAAACCGAATCGGATTGAAGGTCAGGGGCAACAGCCAAACTAGGTTTCGTGTTAGGATCGCTTTGGTTTCCTGGCTTCATTTGCTTTGTACTATGCGTGGGAATAGAATTCGGCACAAATAGCATCAAGTTTACTTTGGGGTCATTTCGAAGCAGCTCAGTTGTCACATCGACCTTTTAACTTTCGAGTTTCCCTCTACGGTTGTTTCAACGTTCCAAGGTTTGAACAACCCCATTTGGGTCAAACGAGGCATATGCATCGATTCCCTCCGTGTTAAATTGGACTGGATTATGTTTGGGAATAGCTCAGGTCTTTACCATTTCAATATGATGGCAAAGGGCAACAGATAATCCTGGGTGAAGCCCATGAAGAAAAGCAACCCCATCCGTGATGAAGGTTCCTAGGGACACTTCGGGCAATGCGAGAATCAGATCACAAGATAAATCCTGCTGTGATACCAGAGGCCCATCTTGCTAGGAAAGAGTTAGTCCTTGGGAAAGCTTGTGTTTGGTCATTCTTCCAATGGCGGAATCCCTGTGGGGTGGATGCGTGGGCCTTGTGGCCTAGGTTTAGATTCGAGTTTTGCCCATGTGGATCGGCTTAATCCATGAGAAGTTCATACCTTGCATTGGTCAAAATGCCCTTTCGCGTGGGGTTGGTTGCGATAGGCATACATAGTTTTGACCATAGAGTTTTGACCATACAGAGTTTTGACCATGGCACATAGGGTCTGATTAGTTGCTTCTTCGCGCTAAGAGGCCCTTTGACGGACCTGGGCTATTTTGAGGATTCTGATTCGCCCTACTGGTTTGGGATTTGTTTCCAACCCCCCCCCCACCCAAATGACTGGAGTTTCCCTTGAGTTTCCCTTGAGTTTCACTTTAAAGCAACCCAGAAACGGTAACCCTCGCGAAAACATCGGTGAACCCCTTTACCTGAAAGGAATTGGCGAAGGGCTACCTACTTTCGTGGCGACCGCTTCGCTTTTGACGACTTCATTTCACTGCGCCGATTCGATTGCGCCAGGATGTCGCCCGATTGCTGGAGCAAATCCAGCAGGGGCTTGATTGCTCCGAGATTCAGGGGGTGCCCCATGAGGTGGAGGAGTGGTTTTGGTGAAATCGCTTCAGCGCCTTGTGCTTCTGCGCGTTTTGCCCAGCTGAGATGTCAGGACTTCCTGAGCTGCCCATGTCCCAGTTGAAAGAATGGAGCGAGCACGAATTTCCCCACCGCCAGGAACTCTCCAATTTTCCCCATGTCCAGTAGGGTTTAACAGAAAAAAAAAGGTAGCCGTAGCTCATGTCATGGTCAAACGAGGAGGCAGCTGCGTTAGCAACCCAGGCGAAACGCCGCCCGAACTTAAGCCCGCGCTGGTTTGGATTTCCGAAGTAGGCGTGGGGGAAGCGTCAAAGAGGACACTGAGAGCATTCAAGTCGATTCTGGATGCCAAGAGAGTGCAGTAAAGACAATGGAATTTCAAGAGACAGCATGGAAGCGAGCGCGACCCTTTCCAATCCTTGTCAACCTGTGGCTAGGGCCTCAATCACGCCTACGATTAAGCGCTCTCTGCGAGTCTGCGCAGCTTCATGGTGCATTGTTGCGGGCTTGTGGCAATCAGGGCACCCAGTGATAGAAACGATAGGCGCGTAAATCCTGCTCTGCGCATTTCGCCGTCCTGAAGCGCCTACTCGGGCATGAGTCTTCAAATCCAAACGCCTCTTGAAATTCCTACCAATTCTGAACACGTTCAAAACGGGGCTTAAAATGAAGAAGCAGCCTCTGAAGCACCTGCAACTCTGCAACCCTAAAAGGACATTCTGAAACCCTAAATGCCTCAAAGCATAAACCCCAAAATCATTGGCTCTAATTTTTAAAAGTGTGCTTCGCCAGCATGTCCGCACCCACGTCCCTCCGCTTAAATCAGCCCGACACCTAGAATCTCTCCGACGTTTCACAATGGTGCTTCAAATGGAGAAGTGGCACCGAAAGCCTAACCTCTATAACCCAAAACTGAATTCCAAATGTGTTTAGTCACCCGTTTGACTTGTGCCATTTGCTTTCACCCTGGTGTAAATCCCTCCCTACGACCTCTAGAACCCCTCAAGCCGCATGTTTCCAAGAACAAAACACAGCTACACCTCAGGATCTGGTCCCCCCCGGCATGGATCATCTTGATTCGCGCCGTCCGTGTGCAAACGATTTCAGGAGGCATGGCGTCGGCCCTCCACACGGAATTCGAGCCTGGGCCGGGACAGGAACAACGGGACGGCCTTCATTGGTTGGCGCAGGTTCCATTTGAGCAGCGCCCAACCCTGCTGGCTATTTTAGCAGGTGGTCTACTACGCTCAATTCCTTTGTTGTGCATTTTAGTAGGTGGTCTACTACCTCTTGTTTTTTGTTTTTTGCCGTTTGACTGCAGAATGGTTTGGTTATAGATAGGGTGTTGAACCCAGTCGGGGGCCCCATTAAATAGAGGATGTATATTCAAATTTACAACCAAACAGATGCGGTCCAAGGGGTAGCAGATTTTGCTGAAGAAGACGAGCCCATAGCAACAGGTAACATTCGCAGTCATCTACTGTAGGCATGGTGATGATATAAGACACACACACACACCAAATTACGTCAAGGAATGAGGGTTACTCATCCAAATCCAATATTAGTTCTCGTGGTGATTTACATGCAATGTGCATACAATGATGTCATTGCTAATTGCGAGTCGTTCTGAAACCTGTGCTGTATTGAGTAGAATTGACCTTCGCCTCTTTTGCCGGGGTTCGAATCGTGGAAGCTCCGCGGAAGCTGAACCATGGCACGCGTTTACAGCCTGTGCTTGCATAAACGTAGACATGACATGCTTTGTTTGTGTGTTTGTTTGTTTGTTTTGTGTTTGTTTGTTTTGTGTGTTTGTTTGTTTGTTTGTTTTGTGTTTGTTTGTTTTGTGTGTTTGTTTGTTTGTTTTGTGTCTGTTCGTTTTGTGTGTTTGTTTGTTTGTTTTGTGTTTGTTTGTTTTGTGTGTTTGTTTTGTGTTTGTTCGTTTTGTATGTTTGTTTGCTTGTCTATTTGTTTGTTTGCTTTTCCCCGCAGAGCGGAAGCTCTGCGGAAGCTGGGGGGAAGCTTTTTTTGTATGCAGCTGCTGGGGCTGAAGCTCCTCTCACGTTTTAAAACTAGGCCCCCAACCCCCAACATCAAAAAGCAGCAGCCAGCCGTCAATGTCAACCAAGATCGGTGCTATGGGTGCTGGGCTGGGGGCTGAGAACACGGCTTTGTTGACAACGCCAACGTGTTTGATAACGTCTTCTATGGCGGAAGCGCGACGGAAGCCAAAACGTGACCCAGGACAGGAGAAGGAGAAGACATTTAGAGCAACTGGTTGGTACTCAGTTCAGCTGAGCTTCACCATTGTTTCTGAGGATAGGGCTGGATATGCTCCACATGCTCACCAGGCCGCGTACCATGGTGTCCATGTGTGTGTGTGTGTGTGCGCATTACACGTTCACTGCAAACTGGGAGTAGCAGAGGCTCGGTTTGCCTGCAGTTCTCAGACACCTGTCTGCACATTGCCAAGTGCCATGATGAAAGCCCCTTCATTTGGGGTTAGGACGGTCATGGACCCCTAGGTATGTCAGACCGTAAGGGCTCCTCTCAAGGAGTGGATGCCCATGACCTACACTTCGGAGTTTTGAGCATGGGCAATGCTGGAAGCTCCGCAGGCCTTGCGAGCCAGAGCCGGAAGGTGCTCCACTTGAGGCGTAAAGCGTTGGAGACGGTGTTCTGGCGTTGGGGAGAGAGAGAGAGAGAGAGTGTGTGTGCGGGAGAGAGTGCGAGAGGGAGAGATGTCAAACTACATGCTTCACTTCCTGCATTTGTGTTGCATGTGACTGCAGGCCTTGAGCTCACTACATCGCATGAGTAAAAGGTGGATTGCTGCAGACTACAATCGGTTGACGGTTTGTTTGAACAATACAACACTTGCACTTGTAAGCAAAGTAACCACCGATTTTAACGTGGTAGCGGAGCTGAGATCCTAAACATAGGGGAGCTCCAGTAAGCAGTAAGTACTACAACCACAGCAACAGCAGTCACATGCCAAACTACTACGACATGTCAGGAGAAGCAGCATCAGCCTCAGCACAACAAACTACAGGAGCAGAGAACGGGCCAACAGCAGACACAGTAGGAGCCACAACTACGGGAGCAGGAACAGAACAAGACAACGACGTTCAGAGACTACATAGATACAAACTGCCACCACCCTTCTTCACTGGTGACTACTCCCAGTATGAAGAATGGCTGTTCAAGCTACAAGCATACCTCGGCCTCATAGACCGAGACTTCGACCTGGTGCTACAACTAGCACAAGTGGCTACACGACAGATTGAGGACAGACATAAAAGCCCACATACGCGACCCTACACAAGCAACAAAAGCAGTAGACCTCTCACGAGATCTACACTACATCCTCATCAACATCTGTCAGGGAGCAGCAGCTACAGTAGTAAGGCAAAACCGCTACAACGCAAACGGATGTGAAACACTACGGCTACTACACAACAGGTTCAGCCTACCAGTAGGAACAGGGAGCGTTGGTTACCTTACCAAACTACTGGAACCTACATTCAACGAAGCGCAGTTTGAAGAACAATTTTTACAATGGGAATACGACATCAACCGCTACGAGAAAGACAATGGAACAGCACTACCAGATGGAATCAAAATAGCAATACTACCCAACAAACCAAAGGAGCACTGCAGCAACACCTCCAACTGCGAGCTGGACAGATCACGAACTACATCGAGATCAGAGCACTAATCTTGGACTACTACAAGACGATTTCAGCCTTCACTAGATCTACTTCAGCAGTAGGAACAAACTACAATGGAGGAGCTGCACCAATGGACGTTGACAACATAAGGAGGAAAGGAAGAAACTACAAAGGCAAAGGAAAAGGAAAAGGCAGCTACAAAGGAAGCAAGAGCAAAGGCAAGTACAGGAGTAAAGGGCACTACGAAGAATTCGACAAAGGCAGCAAAGGAAACTACAACAAAGGAGGATACAACAAGAGCAAAGGAAAAGGCTACTCAGGATCCAAAGGATATGGATCAAGCAAAGGCTACAAAGGCCAAGGAAACTACAGCAAATCAAAAGGAAAAGGAAGCAACAACTACACAACATGCCATCGCAAGCCTGGCCACTGGGCACAAGACTGCAGAGTGCCGGTATGGCACATAGGAGAAGGAGAAGAACTACATCCACTAGAACAAGAACAAGCAGATCATGACAACCACGAAGAACTACCTCAGGATGTGAACGACACTTGGGACTGGTACTACGAAGGAGAAGAAGGACAGGACAACACGAGGTGAACTACATGGAGGAGAACTGGAACGACTATGACAACAGCTGGGATTGGAATGACAACAGCTATGAGGACACAGCAAACTACATTGGAGGCATCAATGAGTCACACCTTACCATTGGACACATCAGACAAGCAAACTCACGACTACACAAGCACAAATCCAAATCACTACTTGGTAAGAGAGCAACACATACAACATCATGGAACGACCGCAGCACGAGCTTTCAACAATTCCTACAAGAAGACACCACACAGCCACACTTTGACATCGCAGCAGCAAGACAACAACAAAGGAACAAGAAGATTGAGGACACTATCACACACTACATTATGTACTCCAACTTCAAGTCATACCACCACCTGTTGATCGACTCAGGAGCATCTACACATGTTTGCCCGAAGGACTACGCACCAGACCTACCGCTACGACCTTGTGGAGAATCAGTTCCACAACTCTACACGGTTACAAACAAGAAGATTCCTGTCTACGGCATCAAGTACGTTCCCTACAAGCAGGACAACTTCAGGATCATGATACCCTACTACGTTTGTGGTGTGAAGTATCCCAGTGCAAGACTACTTGATAGAGGATATGGACTTGACTTCACTCCACGACACTGCACCATCACACATGGACAACAACAAGCACACCTCATAAGACACTCAGGACTTTTCTACCTACGAGCAGAGAAGATCGACATCCCTACAGGATTCGACATCTACCCAATGACTACAGACAATGGAAAATCCATTGCTGTGATTCAACCTACAGAGAAAACAGTACAACAAGAACAAATTGCACCACTCACCACACAGACCAAGGACTACGACAGATCCTTGGTGGAAACACTGACTACTGGAAACTTGATGGTGACTACGCCATCAGAGTACACAAACGACCACGCAAAGCATTATTCACACCACACAACAGCGGTTGCCCAATACCTGAAGGAGAACTAGATGATTGGCGACTAACCATCATCAACAGACAAGGGCAAGAGCAAGAACAACTACAAGAGAACCCAACACAACTTTCCAAGCAAGAACTGCAACGAAGACTAGAAGGTGACAACTGGACTGGAGAAACCAGATTCAGAAGAAAGATAACACCTACACGCAGAGCAACATCAAAGACCACACCAACAAGGCAGAGCTCACAACCACAACGGCTAATGGACACACCACCAACCAGATCAAAGATCCAACTACGAGCACCACAAAAGATATGGAGACCTAAAGCAGCACCTTCGACAAATCTTGACACCACACAACCAAAGGAGACAATCCACAGACCACTCACAGCACAGGAGGACAACCAAGACTACTGGGAAAGACAAGGTGAATATTGGATAAGACACTGATGACCAGGACATCCACCAATCAGCACACTTGAACCTCACAGAACTACAATCACTCACAACAACTTTGGAGAAGTTTCGCAACGCAAAGATGACTGGACAGTCATGGGCAACGCAGCACTACCATTTCAATGGAAAGGAACAACAAGGTTCACCGTGAAGAAAGACTACGAGTACATCCAGGAGAACCACGATGAGGAACAACAACACGAGCATCATGAAGCACACAGAGCAAGAGGACTACGACAACCGCAGCAGCCCACTCCACAACAAATAGCAGAACACAACTTGACACACCTACCATACAGAAATTGGTGTCCAATTTGCGTTCAAGGCAAAGGACGCCAGGACAACTACAAGAAACAACAATCACGACAACCCATCATCCAAGTGGATTTTGCCTACATCAAATCACAACAAGATCCGAAGACCATACCAGTCTTAACAGCAGTTGATGTTACTACACAACTGTGCATGGCGGTATTGGTTCCGGACAAACCATCAATGATGGACTACATGATCAACAACCTACAAGCATTCATCTTTGAATGCGGAAGAACACAAGGCATACTACAAAGCGACAACGAAGACACACTCAATGCACTACTAAAAGCAACAGCATCTAAAGTCGGCTCAATGACTGTACGACATTCACCATCCTACAGCAGCAACAGTCAAGGAAGCGTTGAGCGACTACATAGAACACTTCTCGGACAAATCCGCGTCGTCAAAGCTCAGGTTGAAAGCAACTACAGCATGACGATGTCCACAAAGCACTGTCTACTACCTTGGATAGTACGACATGCAGCATGGACGGTAAATCGCTACGTCATTCACTCAGACGGCTACACAAGCTTTGAACGCCGCTGGGGAAGAAACTACGAGCGAGCAATCTGCGAATTTGGCGAGACACTACTTTACCTTCCACCACAACACAAGAAACTTCCAAAAGCAGACCTACGGATGCAGAAATGCATCTGGCTCGGAAAAGTTTCCGAAACCGGAGAAAACTACGTCGCAACGGAATCAGGCGTACAAAAGGTACGAACAGTACGGAGACTACAACCGGACTTCAAATACGACCTCGCACTGTTGAACAAAGTTTCCGGCACACCATGGGCACCACGACGGAACACCTACAACCCATCGTTCGCAACACTGTTGGATACGCAACTACAACCGTCAGAGAAAAGAAGGTCCACGCAAGATTTCGGACAACAAACGAACGCTACGGACGACATCGTTGCGGAACCCGCAACAAAACAACAACGCACTACACCACCTCCACGACTTCCGTCAACATCGACGTCAAGTTCACGACCACTACCGGATAGTCCTATGGCTACTTCACCAACCGGACGACAACATCCACCACTACCAGCACCACCTCGACAAACACTACGACGTTTAACTCCGGAAGAAGTAATGCAACCAACTAAAGCACAGAAGACCTCAAAGGACACTACAATCAGATCAACGGAGCAAGCAACCAAAGAACCACCACCACTACGACAGAAAATCAACGCAGTGACACTTCCCAACGGCAAATCCATCACCCCTACACAAACGACGACACCTCAGAAGACCAACCCATAATCTTCGACAACGAAGGTTACGACGAAACACAACTACTGGAAGGAATGAAACACGAGTCAAACCAAATGAAGCTACATGACGTCTACGACGAAGTAGATGCGTCTACCGTCGACGACAACGTCATCAGAGAAGCGATACCTACAAGATGGGTACACAGAAAGAAAGGACCAGGAGTACGAAGCCGAATCGTCGCAAAAGGCTACACAGAGAAGATCGAGGACGAAGACTCCGTCTACGCCTCTACACCAATGTTCACGACACTCCGGACACTTCTCGCACTACAAATGTCACGACCAAACTGGATAGCGCGACTAGGTGACGTCTCTACAGCATTTCTACACGCACCCATCGCAAAAGACCACGACGGTAAACAACGTGACGTCTACCTTTGGCCACCTAAAGAACTTTGTCCACAACAGGACAAAATCTGGCGACTAAAGAAAGCCATGTATGGACTACGCAGTTCACCAAAAGCATGGCAGGACTACCTGGCTGAAGTGTTACAAAAGCTCAGCTTTGTAAGACTAAAGTCAGAACCTAACGTCTACACCAATGCGACTCGCGACTGCTACATCATGGTCTACGTGGATGACCTCTTGGTACTTGGTGACAAGACTACTGTCGACTCCACCTTCGAGGCAATTCAGAAGCAGGTCCTACTCAAGCACATCGGCTACCTCGAACCTGGCAAACCACAACAATTTCTTGGAAGAAACATCGACCACTTTGGCAATAATGCAATCTTGGACTAAAGGACTCCTACATCGACAACATGATCGAGGAGTCTGGAATGAACAACTGCAACTCAGTGAGCACTCCAGGAATTGCACACTACAAACCAACAATAGAAGATGAAGCACTACTTGACCACGAACAACACAAAAGGTACAGAAGGATTGTTGGCAACTTCAATGGTTAGCACACACACGACCAGACATTGCATACTCCACAAAAGAACTAGCCCGAGACCTCACAGCACCTACAGAACTTTCACAAAAGAGAGTCAAACATCTACTACGCTACTTGCACGGCACCAAGCACTACAAATTCACCATAGAACCAACAACAACACTCAGAGCAAACACCAACAACATCCTGGATCTCGACGTTCATGTCGATGCCGACTGGGCAGGATGCCCTACTACCAGGAAATCAACTTCAGGTTTCAACATCATCTTTTTAGGAACAACAGTTGCATTTGGCAGCAGAACACAAGCTACAATAGCACTCAGCTCAGCAGAGTCTGAACTCTACGCCATTTGCACAGGAGTTAATGAGGGACTACACCTCAGAAACTTCCTGCTTGAAACCAACATTTGCAGCAAGCTAAACCTACGCATCCACACAGACTCCACAGCAGGCAAGAGCATTGCTACACGACAAGGCACTAGCAAACGAGCAAAACACATCGACCTTAAATTTCTCTACACACAAGACCTCATCAAGCATGACATCATCAGAATCCTTAAGATCAACACACTCCACAACAGCGCAGATTTGTTTACCAAATACATCAGCAAAGAAACACTACACAGGCTCATCCAGAGCATTGGAATACGCATTTAGCACTACGAACGACCAGCACAGCAGTTCCACAACAACAACAACGACTTTGGACATTTCATGTATGTAAGTAGCTACATGTAGCACGACACTTTTGGTATGTAAGTAACAGTAACTACATGTATTTGCACTTGCACTTTTGGCGGCTGAGTCAACACTACAGTTGCTTGTTTTACATGTCTGCATGCGCCGCCTGCCTGATAGCAACTTCTCAGGCTCATTTTGTTTTGCCCCGTTTCACTACATTCGCACTCCACTGCAGCCATGGCCGCTCCATCTACTGCAGATGCTACAATGGGAGATGCGACTACACCCGACAGGGCGTCTACACCGGAGGTGGCTGTCACTACGGACTCCAGTGACCATGGAACTCCCACTGCACTCACACTCGAAGAGTATCAACTACTTACACATCAACAAGCAACTCCACTTGCGCAACTGGACTACACACAACCCATCTACTGCATCCCTGGAGACCTTCGGATGCCTCACTACAACTCCACCCTGCTCAGCGTTTCACTACCTGAAGCAGCCAACGTGCACTACTACCATACGACTTCCCTTCACACTACAACCGGCGACAACAACAACTACGTCATCATCCAACTGCAGATTGAACAACCACTACTCCTGAGGTACCTCACTTCAGGACAATTTATCCACTTCACCAGAGACTACATTTCCTACATGATGTCGGTACAACAGAACTACTACCTCCCAAATACAACACTGCCACAGACCATCTACAAGGTGAACTACAACATGACCATCTTCACCGACAACTACAGCCTCAGGAACAACTATCTTTGGAACTACCACATGCCACTACTACTACCTGAACTACTCCACTACCTCTACAACAGAGACCAACTCCACGACTACCAACACAAGGCAATCACTACAATTCTCTGCAAGAGTATCCAGTACTACGGATTTACACTACTCACCATGACAAACCTCACACAACACCACAAGGCACTACTACACCGCTACCTCAGGGACTACAACCAACACATGTCATGTCCCGAGATCGACGATGAGCGACTACGAGGAGCACCAAACTACATGACAACCTTTTTCACCACGAACTACTTTGCGACCTTGGACAGTCGACCACTACCGCACCCAGAACTGGGGACTACATCTTTGAGCACATGCTCTACTACAACAACAAGTGCCTGCCTCACTACTTCCGTCCAGCGCACTACATCGAGCTGGAACCTGAACAGCGAGAACTACTGAGTGCAGGTTACTACTTTTGTCACTACAGTAGAATTGATGAACAACAATGGTTTTCATCACTACTGCCAATCCATGTTTTTGCACTTCAGTTGAAAAGGTACTACAAAGACCTTTTAACTGAGGGGCCGTGTCAAACTACATGCTTCACTTCCTGCATTTGTGTTGCATGTGACTGCAGGCCTTGAGCTCACTACATCGCATGAGTAAAAGGTGGATTGCTGCAGACTACAATCGGTTGACTGTTTGTTTGAACAATACAACACTTGCACTTGTAAGCAAAGTAGCCACCGATTTTAACGAGAGGGAGAGAGAGAGAGAGAGAGAGAGAGAGAGAGAGAGAGAGAGAGAGAGAGAGAGCGAGCGAGCGAGCTTGCTGAAGAGAAAAGAAAGAGAGAGAGAGAGAGAGAGAGAGAGAGAGAGAGAGAGAGAGAGAGAGAGAGAGAGAGAGAGAGAGAGAGAGAGAGAAAGAGACAGAGACCTTGCTCGTTTTTTGCCGGTCAGGTGTGCGGCACTGCGACAACAGAGACGCCCACATCCTTCTCTATGAGTCCAGGAATGCTCCGCGCCTCTCAGGCGAGATTGGCTGGTCGCAAGTGAGGCTCACCTCTGGCCGCGTGCTTTTTTTTGCGGAGCTGAAACCGGGTCCATTAAAGTGAACACTTTGAGCAGTTCTCAAACTTTCTCTTGGGGGGTTCCCCTTCAAATCATCATTTAGAATCATTTAGAGGGTAATAGTAAGATTGAAAATGTAGCTCTCTAACCGGCCCGGATTCTTTCCAGCTGGTGTGCCGCACGGGCCGTTGTTTCTATGAACTGACCATGTTACTTGTTGGATCTTGTTTGCGGGTGTTCACATGGAACCCAATAATTAAGACGATCCAGCACCGTAAAGAAGACTCTTTAGCAGATGGTTGTTGGGTTCCATGTCTGGAGACAGGGGGGTCACCCACATTCCCCAGATAGATTACGTGTTTTTTTCTTTAGTTGAAACGTGTCAATGTGTCTGACCTATTGTGCTGGTCTAATGTGGTTTAAAGCCAGATATGCCAAGAAGCCAGTCACCTTGATCCTGGCTGCCCTTACCTCAATATATTTTGGGGTAGCAAAAAGAAAAAATCCGCAAAAGGGCCATGCTCGCTCCTCGGGAAGATGACAGTGCACCTGAAGCTTTCTTTCTATCTTTCTTTCTTTCCATAGTCTTTCACTTGGGGCATGGCCAACACATGTCGGAGAAAAAGTGTCTCTTCCAGGGGGGTCAATGCTTTCCCAGCGTTTTTCAGGGGTTCTGGAAATCAGATCGAATCAAAAGCTGGGCTAACCCAAGTTCTTAGGTTCTGAGAACCGAAGTTCTTAGGTTCTGAGAACCGAAGAGTCGGCAGCCCAGTTCTGACCCAAACGGACACCCGCGGATGGCTTCAGGGCTTGGCTCGACGAGAGTCGCCGCATGTGTACTCCGCCTATGAGCCCAGCCCTGAAGCTTGGCCAATGACAGTCGATGGTTCTACGTGGTCTTGTGAGAGACCAAATCCACCCTCCAGCGGGTTGTCTCGCAATGGTCAGCCTTTTCTAGGTGATGTGTCCTTTGGCTTCCCTTCACCCCAAAAGAGGGCCCTTGTACCCTCAAACGTGCACACCCAACGGTGGATTTTCCCATTTTACTTGTACCGAAAACGGCTCACACAAGAGAACTGCAGCTTGAAATGGACCACAGTTGGAGGGTGCTGCTACTTCACCATATTTGGCCATTGGAAGAACCAACAGTGGGTTTTGGGTGCCGCGCAGCTGGGTCGCACAGGTGTCGGCTTGTTTCTCATCATTATTACAGAATCCACCCAGCTTCAAAAGAGACAACTGGTGAGGCTCAGGGTCTAAACATATCCCGCGGATTGTCAATTTGGGGCTCATGATGCTTAGCTGGGGACCGTCCCAAACAGAAATGGCCGCGGCTCAATTATAGGGTCCAGATCAGAGGTCCGTGCCGACAAGGGATCCAGACCCCCCGATCCAGACCAAAACGCAGGTGAGCCAGACCGATCCAAACGTCCGGATCAAGGCGGAACGATCCATACCCGTTTTGTGACATGACGCCCTTTGAGTTCTTTGCTTTGTGTGTGGCAGGCGTCTGTAGTCAGGTGTTGATTGTGGTCCCTATATTTTATTGGTGTGTCAGTTTTCAGGGGACCTCATGTCCTTCTGGTTTTCCTACACCACCACAAAAAAGCAAAACATCGGTACTGGAAAAAGCACCCACCCACCCACCTTGGTCTATGCCCTTTGAAGATCTCTCCAAGGCAGCCGCATAGTTTTGATGTGTCTTGCGAGGCTTGGAGTTCTAAAGCGCTGAGGCCAGGTATTGCCGTGACCTGGACATGGACTCATGGCTGCACGTCAGAGGAGTCAAGAGAAGCAAGGGGTCCCCTACAAAACACACACCACACCACACACACACCACACACCACACACCACACACACACACACACCACACACACCACACACACACACCACACACGCACGCACGCACGCACGCACGCACACACGCACACACGCACACACGCACACACGCGCACACGCGCACACACGCACACACGCACATACGCACATACGCACACACGCACACACACGCACACACGCACACACGCACACACGCACACACGCACACACGCGCACACGCGCACACGCGCACACGCGCACACGCGCACACGCGCACACGCGCACACGCGCACACACGCACACGCACAGGCACACGCACACGCACACGCACACGCACACGCGCGCACACCGCACGCGCGCACACGCGCACACGCGCACACACGCACACACGCACACACGCACACACACACACAATTATGGTGTGCAAAACTGGGTGTTCAGTTGCCATATTAGTTTGTTTCCAGAATAGGGGTACCCCAAAATCGGTGGCTTCCGTTTGGTTTCCCGTTCGAAGGGCTTTCCTAGCTTACGCTCAGAAACTGGCAACCATTTCGCATGAAAACGCAGGATTTGTTCAATGCTATTGTGAAGGAAGGATTCCCTCGGAACATTCGTAAGTCAAAGGAAGATGATCCGTCGACTTCGGATGGTCGAACATGGCTCCGGCTCAGCGCAGATGATATGCCAGATTGGAAGCTCTAAGGGTCTTCACTCAATCTCTGCCAAATCGTCCCCGCGATCCTTGCCATTGGAGACCTCCGAGTTCGGTCACGATGATCGGAATGGTGCTCCTTTCACGTCCACATCAAAACGTGCAGCTTGGCAAATTCGGAATGCGGTCAGGATCCAAGCGGTCACACAAAGGCTCAACTTGAACTAGGTGAAATGCAATTATCGGAGAGATGTATGTGTGTTGTGTGCGCACCCGCGAAACAGCTTGGAATTTCTGTTGATAAGATCAGTGACAGATGTGAGCTGCAGCAAGCGGATCTTGAGATGCCTGCTCTCTCACTCAAGTCTGTTGACAAACCTGCGGAAGCTACAAAATGCTGGATTAGTCCAAGAGCCGATTGTTACCATGGACGTTCTCGCGGAAAACGAGGTTTGCTGTGTATTGAGGGCAGCCTTCGTTGAGTCTTTGTAAACTGAAACCAAAATGGAGCGTGTCTCAATATAGGGGTTCTCTAGAATGGTTTCTCTTTTGTAAAACCACCCAACAAAGTGTACCCTCAAAAAAGACACCCAAATGGAAACCAAATGGGCACCACCCACAAAATGTTTTTGTTTCCCGCGCAAAAGCACGACAGCCCCTATTGTCCTCAAAAGCCTCTCGGGGTCTAAGGGTGGAAGTACATACCCCTTGGCTTCCGTGGTTTCCAACCCTCTTTATAAGGGGTATATAATACCCCTTTTGGGGAGACGGGTATGAAGTATCAACATCAGCAGGCCTTTTGGGTTCATCTGTCCAAGGGGTATGTAAAAGGGGTATGTATAAGCACCCCTGGACGGGGACGCCGAAACTTTCGCCACCAGGCGGGTCGCCGACCGACTCGGCGTGAGGTTTGGAGGTTTGGCAATTTTCCTGGATTTGTCGATGGTCCATTTGGGAGCGGGCTCTTCCCACAAAAGACCAAGGGATGAACTAGACTTCCCACAACAAACCAGGGAGTCACTAAACTTCTCGCAACAAAAGGAATATGTCACCGAACTTCCCCCCCAAGACAAAAGAGGATATGTCCTTAAAGGAGAAGCTTTCTGCTGAGGCCGCGTTTCCTGCTGAAGACAATTCTCCCGGGCCTGCCTACTACGAAGTGCCGGTTGGATCTCACCCGCGCCATGGCTTCAAGGCCCCAGTCCTGGTCGCTGAACAGATAGGAGGTTAGCCCAACCGGGTTGCAGGAGGGGTTTTACACGAAAAGTCTGGAAAGGCCAGGTGGACTTCGGTGATGTTGGTCTTTTTTAGTTTCAGCCCAGTGGGGGGAAAGTTTCCTAGCCCTGGCACAGGCCTGGGTTGGTTGGTTCGTTGGTTGGTTGCTTGGTTGCTTGGTTGCTTGGTTGCTTGGTTGCTTGGTTGCTTGGTTGCTTGGTTGCTTGGTTGCTTGGTTGCTTGGCTCGGTTGGCTTGGTGGGTTGGTGGGTTGGTGGGTTGGGGGCGTGGTTGGTTGGTGATATTTAGGATGGGCTACGGGTAGTTTTCGGGTTGGTTTAGGGTAGTTTAGGGTAGGTTTAGGGTCGGTTTCGGGTGGGTGCAGGGTGGGTTTAGGGTACGTTTGGTTTAGGGACCATGTTAGGTATGTTCAGGTTCAAGGTCCCACCCCAAACCTAGCCTAGCCCCAACCTGCGCGCCAGGCTGTGCCAGGATCAGGCTGTCTAATGCCGCAGTGGAATCCATCGGCCCATGTTTGCCTTGCGCTTGTGCCACAGCCACATGCACCGCATGTGCCAAGTCGGTTGGGGCGGGGGAGGGCACAGAGTTCCCCACCCACGACAGCATGGAACGCGACACAAAAAATTGTGTGTTCCTTCTCGACTGGGCAAGCGGTTCCTACGGCTACAACAGGCATGCCTCCTTTCACAGTTTGCTTGGCACCGGCTCTTCTTCCCTCAATCGTTTGACCAAATGTGTGCGATGGTGCCTAAAAAGCTGCCTACTTGAAGTTGAGTGTGATTGATTCGGCAGCATAATGACTTTGTGAATTGTGAAAGCACTGGAATATGGTTAGATTCGATGTGTTTTCCACAACCTCTGCAAAACCATAACGTAGCACCCTGAAAAGGGCACAACTGTTCTCCGGCATGCGTTGGCCACGTCCCTGGAAAATAATAAAATAACAGTTCACCGGCTGCACCGTCTTTGTCCATGAACCGCGTTGAAGGCTGGATTAATTACTCTGGAAAATTAGAGAGAACTGGCATTCCAAAGGTATTTGTCATATACTGGTTCAGACCCATAGCATAAGGAGCTGTTGCAACAATCATCGCCTTTCTGTTATTACCTTTTGCCCCCCGAATATGCCTGTGGGTCAGATCTGTCTCCTTGCCCAGGAAAGGACCTATTTCCTTGAACCCTTTTACGGTCACCCACAAGCCATGTCCGCGTTTCTATAGGACCTGTCACGGACACTTCGCAGGAATCTAGGCAACCATGGTGAGAAGTCCTAAAACAACATGATCGCTATTTGGGCCGATACCACGATGAAATGTGTGTATATATATATATATATTTATATACATACATTATTTACTGTATACTATATACATACTTATGGGTTTGTCTAAATGTGTGCCTTTGGATCCATGTTTCTGCCGGCCCAGGAAAGGCGTGGCCTTCGGCAAAGCCGCGCGGAGCACCACTTTGGACGCGGCGGCGCGGCGGCGCGCCTTGGCGCCGCCGCCGGGGTACTATGACCCAATGGACCGAAAGGATGGAGGCAGGGGCTGGTGAAAGCCCTCGTCGTAAGGGAGACTAAGAATCGTTAGGGCTCTACCTCTTGGTGATACCCTTTCAAATGGGGGTGTTCCAGGAAACCAAGGGGAAACCAAACATTTCTGGCTGTTTTCGGAGTTGTGGAGAGATGGGGGGTTGGTAGTGTTATCTAGTTGAAGTGAGTGGTTAGTGCCCAAGATGCAGGACTGGAGGTTGATGAAGCTTGGTGAAACCACATCTTGGGGGTGTTTTACAGGGAAACAAAGGCTCCCTCTCCGGAATCAACCCTAATCCTCCGTTGCCCCTTTACAGTCCATTTGTGACACATCTTAGGGTTGAGTCTTTTCCCTTCTATTCAACCATGATTCTCAGCAGACACATATTTGGCCATGGGTGCAAATCCCGTACACCCAGTGAACATCCCAATCCCCACTAAAATAGGTTCTAAAATGGGT